CCTGTTATTTGTTTTGTAGTTGTTACTGTTAAACCATTAAAAAATCAATAAAGAGTTGAATAATAATAATAAACTACCATTGGTTTGAAGAAAGTTTAATTTTAACAGGACTAACAAGCAACTTCAAAGCAATGGTAGTTTATTATTATTATTCAACTACCACTGGTTTGAAGAAAGTTTAATTTTAACAGGACTAACAAGCAACTTCAAGTGATTCCAAAGACTAAAGTGGATCACAAAACTTTTAAAGTTTCTGAGCAGTTCATTTTGCATCAGTCTTTTTTTCACAGAAAATGTCGCTTTTTGCAAATGCAAGTAGAAGCAACATGTAAAACTTCTATTGCAGCCTGAAGCATTTTCAGCAGGGATTTCAGAGATTTTGGGGCAAAAATGACCACGTTATGCAAAATCCATAACAGTCAATACTTTTGCAAGAAACATTATGAAATGTTGATGATTGAAGATGTTTTAAGCTTGTCGGTACAGTCCAAGCAGGTSTAATATTGCCTTCTTAAAACAACTTATCTTAAAGAAACATTGATAGTAGTGATGAAACAATATTATTTCAGCTTTTATCATTTGTTCATGGTACAGATCCTGGTGGTGATTGCTGCTGTGTTTGGCATCGTGATTTATCGCGTCATCACCGTCAGCACATTCGCTGCCTTCGGCTGGGCGCTCATCAGGAACAACTCTCAGGTGGCCACCACAGGCACCGCAGTCTGCATCAACTTCTGCGTCATCATGCTCCTCAACGTGGTGAGTTCAGAAGCTTCTGAAGTGTGTGCGTGTGTGTGTGGGGGGGAATACTGCAGTAAAAAAGTAAAACGATTGGTCAATATTATCTGTATTCAAATTATTCAGCTTAGTTTCTATTTGTTTACAGCTTTATGAAAAAGTTGCTCTTCTTCTTACAAATTTAGGTGAGTTGTCTGAACCAGGCATTTTAAATCAATATTTATAACATTGGCAGCACAGTTTTATTCACGTCTCACCCTGTTTTCCTGGCCACAGAGCAGCCGAGGACAGAGTCGGAGTGGGAGAACAGCTTCACCTTCAAGATGTTCCTTTTTCAGTTCGTCAACCTGAACAGCTCAACTTTTTACATCGCCTTCTTTTTGGGAAGGTGAGGAAAAAATGAACACCTTGAAAATAAAGCTCAGCATGTCACACTGCAGAAAAAATACTTGTACAGAGTATAGAACAGACACTTTTAAAGTAAAGTGTTGTTTCTGTGCTATGATGAGCTCTGACTGAAACTCCTCATATAGATTATTTCTATCCAGATGTTCACATAGTTGATTTGCAACTATTTTCTCAAGAATTTTTGAGATGAATGGGATATTAGATATAGGTCTATAGTTGGCCAGAACTCCTGAATCAAGATCGGGTTTCTTAAGTAAAGGTTTAATTACAGCAACCTTAAAGCTCTGTGGCACATAACCATTCATTAAAGATAAATGGACTGTACTTATATAGCGCTTTTCTATCCATCCAGGACACTCAAAGCGCTTCACACTACATTCTGTGCCCTCATTTACCCATTCACACAGCACTCTATTGGGTCTCTACAAAGCTAACATATACAATCATCTATGGAGAGTAATCAGTGCCAATCACATTCATACACTGATGGGACACACATCAGAGGCATTAAGGGTGAAGTGTCTTGCCCAAGGACACAACAACTGAGACAGCTGGACGGGGGATCGAACTGGCGACCTTCCGGTTCCAGGACGACTCCCCTAACCACTCTGCCACAGCCTCCCCAGTATTTAAATTAAGTACATCTAATATATGGATATTAATTAATGGAAATGCTTCTTTGAACAGTCTGGTTGGGATGGGATCTAGAAGACATGTTGATGGTTTGGATGAAGCTATTATTTTAGATAATTCAGAGAGGTCAACAGGACAAAAACTGTCCAGACATAAATCAGGTTCTAGTGACACTAAAGCTGCCTCATCTGACAGAATCAGAGACAGTAATTTTGTAGTGAATTTTATCTCTAATTAAAATAGTTTTATCTATAAAGAATCTCATGAAGTCATCACTAGAGTTATTGGGCTACATGGCTCAACAGAGATAGGACTTTTCATACAGTACTTAACAGAAACCTGGGATAGTTTTTATTCTCTTCTATTAAACATGAATAATACACAGTTCTAGCTTTACGAAGGGCTTTCTTATATGTTTGCAGGCTGTCTCTCCAGGTTAAATAAAATTCTTATGTTAGTGGAGTGCCATTTTCTCTCCAGTTTTCTAGATGACTGCTTTAAAGAACYTAACTCTGAATTAAACCAAGGAGTCAGCTTCCTCCGATCGATAACTTTATTAGTGTAGCAATTTCATCAAGAGAGGTTTGCATTAAAGTTGTAATATTATCAACAAGACCATCTAAGTTACTTTTCTCTGTTACATTATACTGTAAAACAGAGGAAAATAAAGATGGAAGAGAGTCTTTAAATTTAGCTACAGCATTCTCTGATAAACATCTACTATAATGAAATTTACTCTCAGTAGCTATAAAGTCAGCCAATGTAAACTCCATCCATCCATCCATCCATTTTCTTCCGCCTATCCGGGGTCGGGTCACGGGGGCAGCAGCTTCAGAAGGGAGGCCCAGACCTCCCTCTCCCCAGCCACTTCTTCCAGCTCCTCCGGGGGAACTCCAAGGCGTTCCCAGGCCAGCCGAGAGACATAGTCCCTCCAGCGTGTCCTGGGTCTTCCTCGGGGCCTCCTCCCGGTGGGACATGCTCGGAATACCTCACCAGGGAGGCGTCCAGGAGGCATCCTTACCAGATGCCCGAGCCACCTCAACTGGCTCCTCTCGACGTGGAGGAGCAGCAGCTCTACTCTGAGTCTCTCCCGGATGACCGAGCTTCTCACCCTATCTCTAAGGGAGAGCCCAGCCACCCTGCGGAGGAAACCCATTTCGGCCGCTTGTATCCGGGACCTCGTTCTTTCTGTCATGACCCAAAGCTCATGACCATAGATGAGGGTAGGAACGTAGATCGACCGGTAAATGTAAACTCAAAGGTTATTAAAAATGGTCAGTAAGAACAGGATTGTGAGGATGTATTATTAAGCTTTCACTCTCTATACCAGGGCTATTCAAATGGTGGCCCATAGGCCACATCTGGCCCGCGAGTGACCAAATTTCGGCTTGCCAATTGGTTCACTCATCTCTTAAGCCAAAACCCCTGGTTTTCTACTTAAATTACTCTAAGTTCTTTTAGGTCGTGTTCACACCTGCACTGTTTAGACCGATTTCATCGAATTCTAGTTAGTTTGCCTGGAAAGTCCGGATCATTTGTGGAGGTGTGAACACGTAATCGAACTCTGATTCGGACCAAAAAAAGCGAACTCTGGTCCGCCTGAAAACYTAGGTCTCGGTTCGACTGCATGTGTGAACGCTTAGCGGACCAGAGACCGCTCCAAAAGCAGGATGCGGACTATACAAATTTACTTATATGGTGTAAATACCTCGCAGGACAACTGTATAAGGTGGACATCATGACTGTGGAGCTGGACGCGCATTTACTCAATTAATACGGAGCTTCCTCAGCCGCCTTGTGTGCAAAACAACATTCTCCGTGGTTCCGCCTCATCTTCCTCTCATGCTGAGCTCATTTTTGAAGACTATTTGTTTAGCAAGTTTGCCAAAAACAAAAAATAAACCCTATAACCACTAAAATGTAAGGTTACTACTGTTTGTTTACATTTTGTGAAGAAGGAAGTTGCGCTCCATGTCTTCTGAGGTTTTCATGTTGATTCCTTTGGTGGTTCTTAGTGCAGCGTCACCACAGGTGAGGGCGGAAACAGGTTGTTACAAGAGATTTTAATATTCGTGTAGATGATGAAAATATGTCCATAAATCTATTCATTCTCTTCATCACACTCTTGATCTTGTTCTGACATATGGTATAGAGCAGGGCTATTCAACTAAAATGCTCTGGGGGCCACAGTTACTGCCAGTCAACAGCTGAGGGGCTGAACATACAGCAATTAAAGTTATAATGTAAATAAACCAGTATTACAAAAATCTGTTACCTTTGAATTAATTTATTTTGCTGCATTTAATCATGATTATAACATACAGAACCCTATAAAAGTAGTGATAATTAAAATTTATCAAAAACAAAAAGTACACATTATGCCTCCTATTTGACACAAATATTTGGCATATCTYTCTTGCCAAATGTTTAAACCAATTTTATTTTCACTTTCATCATTTTATCTTTAATTGCTTGTAGTTTTACTGTAACTGTCTTGAGTGTTTATAGAAATGGTTTTACCAACTTCTAGCCAAGATTCTGATATTTCTGTAGATACCAAACATGTCTATGTTTAACTAAAAGAACTTAGAGTAATTAAAGTTGAAAACCGGGGGTTTGGGCTTAAGAGATGAATGAACAAATTGACGAGACGAAATTTGGTCACTCGCCAGTTTAATAGCCCTAAAGAACAAAACAAGTTTTAGGAGAATCTTCTGTCAAGCTATGAAAGTTATTTTTTCTGTAATGTGATATGTTACTAATGTGGATGTTCTTGACCCCTATGCATTATGGGTATTTTAGCAATTTAGATAGAATCATGTGAATAGTGATTATTTTTTAATACATAAAAAGCTGTTTTGGGCCTGGGTGTTTAATTTTTTTAAGACAGACCTTGTATAAATGTAATACAGTGATCCCTCATTTTTCGCAGGGGTTGCGCTCCAAAAACAACCCGTGATAGGCGAAATCCATGACATAGTTAAGCCGGTCCGGCAGTGCCTGCTGCAAAGCAGGAGGAAAGGAGAGCAAAAAAGTCATGAACTTATTTCTAGCGGCGGAACAGTTTGGAAGATCGTTACTTGGTGTTATTTAATGTTTTTTAAATCATCCTACAGGCTCTGACATGTTGATAGCCTGTTGAGCACAGAGACTGTTTAGCCAATCAAGACAAAGAACACAATGCACTGTGAAAAAAAAACTGCACAAAAAAATCTGCGAAGCAGCAAGGCTGTGAAAGGTGAACCACATTATAACTGAGGGATCACTGTACTTAAAAATATTATTTAGAAAATAACTAGAATGACTGTTACTTGTTTTACCATCTTTGTATGTTGAGAAAAAATATTTTTTGACATAATGAACTTTTTGAAAACCTCTAGTCAGGATAAAAATACTTGTAATGTACACCCCTCCCCACAAAGTAGAAGAGCTTGTGTACCTTGGTATTTTGTACATGTATTTATGCACACATGTATATAGAAAGCTATCATACCTGAAACAAATATATTTTTATAGAACATTCTAAGAAGCAAAAATTATTTAAAGTTTGAGAAAGTTATGACAAGTTCAATCATTTCAAAATGCACCTAATACTATTTGTCCGATATTTTGACAACTGCTCTTGTATTGACAGGTTTACGGGCCGACCAGGTGCATATCTACGCCTCATCAATCGCTGGAAACTGGAGGAGGTAAATTATCTTCTTCCCTTTACCCAAACCGAGCAAAAAATTACAAATCTGAGTACTTCCAACCTGGGCGTTTAGCTGTAACTGTGTGGCCACAGGCGAGCGCTTAGTTCGCACTAAGGGGTATACTTCTTGGAACACATACTGAAGTGGTCTGTGGGGACAAAAGGCCCGAGCTGACACTTRTTGACTGCTGAGCTAATGTGCTCCCACTTCCACAGCTGCAGAAATGCAAAAAGGTCAATTAATGAGACATAAATAGCATAATTCCAGTCAGCTTTTTGTTGCCAAAGAAAATTATGACCAAGCTTCCAGACCATCTTTTAATGAATATTTGCATCATATCAAAAGAGTGAAGATATATAGTTATGTTATGAGTTGTTATAATGGACCCTAGTGACAAAATTGCTGCATTTCTCAAATATACAGTATATATATATATATATATATACAGTATATAGACTGTATGTACACATAACAGCAAAGATGAGACCTTGTGGTATATACAGTATATACAGTATATAGCGTTTTCAGGCAAAAACCATCAATGTGTGCTGGTGCGGTTTGTAGGCAAGTGTGAAACAGCTGGGATGAGTCTCTGATCCTCCAAGTCTGAGGCCAATGGTTCTCAACCAGCAAAGGGTTGAATGCCCCCTTCGGGTGGGGTGGGGGGTCTTTTCCTCGAGTGGAGGAGTTTGAGCATTTTGGTGTCTTGTTCACAAGTGATGGGATGGAGTGGGAGATGGATCGACAAATTGGGGCATCATCCTCAGTAATGAGGATGTTGCTTCGGTTGGTCGTGGTGAGGAAAGAGCTGAGTCAAAAGGCAAAGCTCTCGATTTACTGGTCTGTCTATGTTCCAACCAGTACTGAGATCTAARGGAGTGSTGTGTGAATGTGTGTGTGAATGGATAAATGAGGGCACAGATTGTAGTGTAAAGTGCTTTGAGTAACCTGGTGGGATAGAAAGGTGCTATATAAGTACAGTCCATTTATCATTCACCAACCCTCAACTATGGTCATGACATGTGGATCATGATCTAAAGAACAAGATTCTGGACATTCCTTCGTAGGGTGGCCAGGCTCAACCTTACAGATAGGAAGAGGAGCTCCATAATCGGGGGGGATTGTCGGAGAGAGGTGGTTCATTTGATTAGGATGCCTCCTGGAACGGCAGAAGATGGAGATGAAAACAAAGCCTGACTAAGAACCAGTAAAGCATAACTTTGACCTGACTTCTTTGTTGTTTCTGCTGCAGTGTCACCCGAGTGGCTGCCTCATTGACCTCTGTATGCAAATGGGCATCATTATGGTGCTAAAACAGACCTGGAACAACTTCATGGAGCTTGGCTATCCGTGAGTTCCTTTTCTTTTGACTTTTATCTCGTGTCTTTCTTTCACATGATCACACCATTCATATCAATGTTAATCAAGAAGTCTTAACCTGGGTTTTCCAGATTGAATGAAACTGTACAGTTATTAAATACATTGCCAGAACCTTGGTGTTTCTCTTTTCATCCATTCAATTTGAGTTTAGACCAAGGCTGTCAAACTCATTTCCACCAAGGGCCACATGAGCATTATAGTGGCCCACAAAGGCCCACTTGTAATTAAATTTGACATTTTGTGTTTAACTTTGACTTAACATGAAACGTTATGTTCCTCGTCTTGTTGCTACAACTGAGCACTGCTAACAAACAATAACTGAACTCTATGTGGTATTCCCTGCATATAAACTGTTTTAACACGCCCTCTTATAAACACTGAAAAATACTACATGTACGACTGACTAAATGTGAAAAAAATATTACAGAAATACTAAAATGAGATGATTGTGACCACAGTGGTAATAGTTCAGACAAATATTTCCTCAAAACAACTGGAAAAAACATGCATTGCTTTAGACATTATAGGGGTTTCATATGTTAGCTACAGTGACTTCTTGTTGTAGTCACAATGAACTACAACATCAGCTGGCTCATTTTGTGTTGATTTTCAAGACTCATTCAGAACTGGTGGACAAGACGGAGGCTAAGGAGAGAACATGGCCACCACATGGACAGCCTCCCACAGTGGGAGAAAGACTACAATCTTCAGCCAATGAATGCCTACGGACTCTTTGATGAATACTTGAAGATGAGTATGTCGTGTCTTTATATGTTAACGTTACACCTTGTTGAAATTTATTATATCAGTGCTGGATTTTTGAGATTACCACATATGTGTTCCACAAAGTAATCTCCTATAGTAACATCAAATTTTGTAACAAAATATTCTTTTCATCATTGGGCTGAGTTGCTGCTGTTCATATTTTGTCTGATGTAAAAATCTGAGCATGAGAGGTTTCATGAGAGGTTTCTGTTTCAGTTCTACAGTTTGGTTTTACCACCATCTTTGTGGCAGCGTTCCCTCTGGCTCCTCTCTTGGCCCTGATCAACAACATCATTGAGATTCGTTTGGATGCGTTCAAATTTGTCACACAGTGGCGCCGCCCTCTGCCCTCGCAGGCCAAAGACATCGGTAAACAGGAAGGAGGAGGTTCTTCTTCCAGGGTGGTTGTCTCCTGCCTAACTTGTGTTTCTGTCAGGAATCTGGTATGACATTTTGGAAGGAATCGGCATCCTGTCCGTCATTACCAACGCCTTCGTCATCGCCGTCACATCTGACTTCATCCCTCAGCTCGTTTACGCCTACAAGTACGGACCCTGTGCTGGTCAGAGTCAATCAGGAGAGGGGTGAGAGATGACGAAACACTTATTTTTTTCTTGCTTTCTATCATATTTCGAGTATATCTTTACTGTTGTATGCTCCTCAGGTGTATGATGGGATATGTTAATGCCAGTTTGTCCATTTTCCAAGTGTCTGACTTTGAGAAGAGGTCTCAGCCCAGAACTAARGGCTCTGAAATGTTCAAAGAGGCTGTGAAGTTTTGCAGGTAGTTAAGACATTTATTTCAAGAAGCTATAAAACAATAGTTCTCATTCTGTTTTCTGTGTATTTTATTTTATTTTTTTTTACTTTTATGTTGTTTGCCACCAGGTATCGTGATTACAGAGAACCTCCCGACTCGGCTGAGTCCTACTCCTACACTCTGCAGTTCTGGCACGTCCTGGCTGCTCGCCTGGCATTCATCATCGTATTTGAGGTCAGTGTTTTGAAGTGGGATAAATGACACAGRTCGTCCAAAGAACTCAGTGTTGTTTTGTCCTTTCACACCAAAAACAAATCACCCAGTTAATCAATTTAATTCTTTAGTAAAACACAGTGTTCCTGAAGCTTTTTGTTGGAGATTCATTCTTTTGGTAAAAGTCCTCATCAATGACCTCCAACGCTTTGTGTCGAATTTTTGTCACTGCTATGGTTCCAGTTTCAAAGCTTTATGAGGAAATAAATCTGGATTTGTGGTGTTATGGTGGCGAATTTACACAAAATATAATAAACTATAGAGCAACATACAGCAAAAAATGGAGCTCGACAGCTTTATGTGTTTAGTTTACCAGTTTATAAACTAGTGCTGGGCACGTTGATGCATTATTATCGCCTTAATGCAGCCAACGCTTAACGGCGACAATTTTTTTAGACGTGCAAAAATTAATAAATCATGATTAAAAATTTTAATCAATGCCCAGCACTGTTATAAACACTTTTATCCCAGGAAAGTAGGAACAAGAGGATATATGAAGGTAGTGGCCCTGTCACACTATAATGATTTAGACAAATTATGTGAACTTATGAAGATTTTATGACAATTTTGCTCATTTAGACTTTATATTTGATCGAATTGTTAGCATTACCATATGTTTAGGTCCAAAAGAGGCTTCCAGTAGAATTTTTTCAATTCCATCTAGTGTTGGACAAACTTTTCATAAGTTGGCATAAGTTGTCTAAAATGTTATATTGTGACAGGGCCTTAAGATTCAACACAACTATAACTATCAGGTGTCAACTCTGACTGTCTGTTAGCAAAATATAACATGAGCCATTAAATTTATTTGAATGAAACTTTCCGGAAATATTTACTGGATGTGTCTACAACTGATTATTTCAAAACCAATCTACATCACAGTGAGGGTAACTTAAATGTTTAGAATTCTGAACTAGATAATTTGTGAATATATTTTAAATATACTATATTTACATATACTATATTTAAAATTATATCATATCGGAGCACCACACTTCTTAATTCGATCAGATACTGACCCAGGAAAGAAATGAAAAACTGTAACTTTATCGTGATCAGTCTCAGAATAACTTTACCCCATGGATCTGAGTTCTTGCTTATCAAGATCAGAATATCTCATCAAGACACAAAGAAAAATTGAGATTAGCTCAAATTGGCAAGTTCTCCACAAGCCATTTATTTACAGATTAAATATATTTACAACTATGGCAAGCAATGCATGATGATGATGACATAATTGAACCAGGTAAACTGAGAGAGTTTGTTATCACAAGTGAATGAACAGACAAACAAAAACAAACAAAAATGTAAACAAAAATTAAACACTGAGAAGTGTTTAGGGCTCTGAATGAGGGAGGTGTTTTTATAAGCTGTTTAGCTCTAGTTGTTTTTAACTAGGTCTTCCTAGCTAATTTAAGGTAGATAAAAACGTTTAGTTTACCAAATCTCCTACAAAGGTAAAAATCAGATCTAGGCCTGAGCACCTATGTGACAGTGTTCACCTTTCCCCTTGCATTCTGCTGATGTCGGTACCAAGAGGAGCGTCGGCTGACCGAAGGATCTCAGGTGATGTTTCCCAGAGAACTGCTTCAGCGTGGTGGCCATTCAGACATTCAGGGGTCTGTTCATCTCTGCTGGTCCTTCAGTCAGAAAGGGGTTCTCTTTCTCTGGTGACTTGGTCTGGCTGTCCACAAGTGGCTTCAAGACTCAAGTTTGATCTTCACCTTGTAGAAAAACGGACTAAAACGACGTTGGATTACCATTAGCTTATTTGACTCCTTTAAAAATCAAAACTCAAGGGCTGAGTTGAAATGATGGTCGGCCTATACGAGTCAAAATGGCGGAGGGGTTGACTGACACCCCCCCTCTGGCAAGAGGGGGTCGTTCAACCTGGCTGCTTCTCCGTCTGCGTTCTGCTTCCTTCTTCTGTTGTGACTCTTCTATACTGTCTTCTGCGTGTACTAACTTTTAAAACCTCTGTTGTGGGCGGAGTCAAGGTTTTTAGTTAGCCAATTGAAAAACTTTGGTAAAGTTTTTAACCAATCAAAATGTTTGGAGGGAAAACAAGGTTTTCAGACAAAGGACGGGAGTGTTTAGTATAACTATCTTGCATCTAATTAAAGGGGAAGGCATCTGTTTTACATCAGTTCAAATAAGAATGTCTATCTAGTTAAATTCAAACCTAAGAGTCTAAAGTTAATTCATGTCATAACACAGTTTAAAGAAACATCTTTTTTTCAGAAAAACATTTCATCAAAACAATTAACACCAAAATACACACAGCTAAACTAGTTAACTAGCAAAACTTAATAGGTCCTTTATGATCTTTTAGTTCTCTGCTGTAAGAAAACTGGGTGACATTCTTTTCAATAAAACAAAAAAAACATTAGATACAGATTCCTTCATCTTTTCTCCTTTTTTTCACATTTTAATGAAGAATGRGGGTCCTTTGTTCTCAGTCATGCTGAGAGGAGTCTGGCAAAGCACCGTTAACACCCACCCTCTTTCTTTTGAAGAAAAGTAAATAGCTTGTTCTTATGGGGGTTGGGCTGGAAGGTGTGATGTGGAACTCTTTCATGTTCTTCTGAGGCGCCATGATACCAGTTGATATGTTAATTTGAAGCACAGGAGAATCATGCAAGATGCTTTAACAGAAGTCTGAAATGAATATATCTTATTTTCTTCACCAAACAGTCATAAGTTATATCCAGCAAAGTTATAAATTGAAGTAGGAAACCGCTACAACAGCCTATTGACCTTAGAAAACACAAATGGCTCAAATCCACTCAGTTTTACAGATATTAGAGTAAAACTTTGGGATGGTGGTAGCTGAGAGTCACTCACAACACATACTCTTATCACTACTTCTTGTGCAAGATCTTTATTTAAAACTTCAACAGTAAAAATAATGTCAATCCAATTTGTCTGTTAGCAAAATGTCTCTTGAACCGTTTGATGGATTTGAATGAACCACTGGATGTAACTCCTTAACTTTTAGAGACATTTCAATTAATAATGGCCGCCACAGCTAGTCAAAATTAGGCAGCATGAAAATGTCTATAACTTAGTAAAACTTACAGATACTGAGCTAAAATTTAGATTGTTGTAGCTGAGAGTTATTTACAACACTGAGGATGACGTCAAAATATCGCATTGAGTTTTTGGGAGGGTAAGCTGAAATCAATCAAAAATAACAGATTACAGTATATACGTAGTTTGTTTATTTGGTGGAGGAATGTTTCGATGTGTTTCTGCAGCACATGGTGTTCGCCATCAAGACCCTGATTGCGTACCTGATCCCTGACCTTCCCAAGGACCTACGGGACAGGATGCGCCGAGAGAAGTATCTGATCCAGGAGATGATGTACGAGGCCGAGCTGGACCGACTGCAGAAGGAGAAGAAAGAGAAGAAGAAGAAGGGCCCAGCCCATCACAAGGAATGGCCCTGAATGCACCACAGGGTACAGCTTTACATTCAGACCAGTTGGATTATTCAGCTCTGCTGTGGGGTTTCTTTTAAATTGTTACAGAAAAGCAATTTGAAACTGACAATGCATTGTTACAACCCACTGGCTCAACAGGAAGTAACACAATGAGACCCAAGACAAAAACGTGGGATTAACTAAAAAAGGTTTATTAAACTGGAAATGATGTAGTTGGGGAGCACCACAACCAGGCTGCAGCCAGCAGCAAGGAAAGGAAGAGAGGGGGAGAGAGCCAGCTCAGAGGACAGGGTGTGGCTCCCTCAAATAGGCTGCTCACACCTGTTGGTAGTAGGGATGATTAGTGGCAGAGGTTTAACCTGCAAGAGAGAAAACAAATATACACAACCCCGTAACACCCCCACCCTTAAATGGTTGCTCTAGGCAACCAAAACCATAAGGTTTGGCATCACTCCATTCTTGAAAGTGCATCTGCCAGAACATTGGGCCTCATGCAAAAACCGTTCGTACGCACAGATTTGTTCTTAAATTGTGCGTACGAGTGA